AAAACAAACCTCACGAGCTATGAGGAGATCGTGTGTGCAAGTCTCCATAAACACTGTGAGATGTTACCTGGGGGCCAGCAGAGGGCGCAGTGGTTAAGGGGCTGGATTCCCACATGGCTGAACCAGTTTGAGTTCCGGACCCGGTGGTTTTAACATCACCCTGGGTGCATCTATGTGTGTGTGCCCAAAATCCCGAGAGGAGAATGAAGAAGGGCTTATTGTGAGGCTATTCTCCCTGGGGGTGATTTCTCACTTTCCCTCCTCTCTTTCTCTCTCTTTAATGTGCGTTTGTGCCCTATAGCAAAACACTAGAAAGGACAGATGTACAAGTGAGCGTGTTGGTGCAGACCTGTGCACGGGGTTTCGCAGGCCAGATCTGGGTCCCTTTCAACGTTGGGCTAGGTGGCGAGCATTTCCTTCTGGGCGGGATGAGGAGGACACAGGCCGGCAAAGTTGGGAACAAGAATGGAAGGGGCGGAGGTGACCTAGGCAGATAAACCTCCAGTTAGAACCTCCAGACATGGAGCGTGGAAGCCATTCCGGGCAGCTTGGGGCTCCTGGGGGAGGGTGCAGGGGCGTAGTGGCAGGTGGTGTTGACAAGGTAGGTTGGGGCTGGGCTGTCACCAGTCCAGCGTACTGAGAACTGTCTGACACCTCTCCATGTACTTCACGGTGTCATAGTACGAGGGGACTCGCCAAAGTTCATGGGAAAATGGAATGTAAAGAGGCGTTTGGTCCAGCCTAGGTGGCACAGTCAAAGCCTATTGGCTTGCAGTGCTGGAAGCCACGTAGCCTACCACAGGTCTGGACCCCCAGGGCAAGCTGAAAACATGCAGGCACACACGTGGGCACCCACGATCCTGACGCGTTATCTGGGGAAAGGGCTCATGGAATGACAAGCCATGATTGAGGGTTCTTCTCTCTTTCTCTCTTACACCTGTACGAACTCTTATTATTTAAAAATTTTTAAAAGCATAATTTTGCTCCAAAAAATTGAAATCCCTGCAATTAATGATACACATTTTCCATGAACTTTTTGAAGCCCCCCCCCCCCACATATACTCCACCGCAGAATTGCTGATTGCTACATTCACAAAGTAGCGTCTTCTAAAAACCCTCAAGAATAAATGTTTTCAGGAAGTACTCTTGTCACCTCTGTCACTTACTGGGAGAATGACTACGGGCAAGTTGCTAAAGTTCCCTGAAGGGAAGAGGCAAGGCCCTGCCATGCCAGCCTCAGCCTTCAGCCATATTACCCAGGAGGTCACTTCCCTGAGTGGACAGCCTCTCCCAAAGACCCAGCTCCTAGAATTCACCCGCTGGCTAGTCCAGAGGGCAATGCGCCTGGTCTACTGCAGAGACTCTCCGATGGTCTGAGGCCCCGGACTCAGCTTGAGCGAGGAGGGCTGACTAGAGCAGAACATGCCGGTTACCGGGAGGTTGCCAGACTTGTCCTGAGCATTCCCGACCAGCGAGGTGGTCCGTCCCTCATGGGCTCAGGAAGAAGGAGGAGCTAGTCTGCTTTGAGGAAGCTGCAAGCCCTTCATGGGGCTGATGGGGGCTTCTTCCTCCATTTCCAAAGGTCAAGCTGTTCCCTTCACAGGCCCATGGGGTCCTGGGCCACCTGCACCCACAGGACGTTGGGAGAAGGTTCTGGGAGTAGCCTGGGAAGCAGATTCATTCCTGGGGTGGGGCGGGGAGGAGGGCTTAAACAACAGCCCTGCCCACAAGAATGACCAAGCACACAAAATCCGGGAAGAATAAGGGATGACCATGGAGGGGTGCTTTATGAAGAGGGCAGCTAAGCAGAGGGCACTGGAAACACTTAGCTGGGGACACACGATAAAAAAATAAAGTTGCGAATTGTTGGGAGATTGTTTTTTTCATTTTTGGTCTATTCCAAACGAAAGCCACTGGTGGTGTGTCCTGTTCTGTCCACCTGACAGATTTCCCAGGCAGCTCCCACAGGAGACAACGTAGCCCGGGCTGTGTGAACTGACCCTTAAGTATTTCTGCGAGCTGGCCTCCCTGGCAGCGTTGTCAGTGGCGCAGAGATTGGTCTGGAGGGGCCGCGCTTCCCGGGCTCCCTCGGTTGGACTGTTTATCATGGCAGCAGCTGAGGATAAGCCGGACACAAAGAGGATTTGTGTCTCAGGAGGCCCGGCCCTAGAGACGGAGAGTGGAGGAATTTTCTCATTAGAAGGAGTCAGTGGTGGGACTCTGGGCGTTCATCGTGTGCCCCAGTACGAATGGCAGCAGGGAGCTCGGTGTCCTGGAGGGGGAAAGTACTGGAAAATGCTTTCTCTGCACTACCTGACGTTGCCAGAGTGGATTCCCGAGAGAAATGAGAGACATCAAGTGTCACCTGCTCTTGAGAAGCTTTTCCAGGGGGCAGGGAGGGGGCACCAGTAAGGCCTAGTGGGACTAGGTTCCACTTACAGGAGAGCCACAGTGAGGGGCTCCAGATGGAGCACCCCAGTCACGGTGGTGAGTCCACAGCACTGTTGAGTGGGTGTAGCCCAGGGGACCCCAGCATGAAAATCTCAAGGAAAAGCCTTCACGATCAGCAAGGCAAGGCTGGGCTGGGAGGCTCTGGTTGGGGATGGGAGTGGAGAGAGGACAGAAAGCCCAAGCACGCGGAGTTCTAGAGTACTCCTAGGACTCTCCCAGGACTCTCTGATCACCTGGGGGCTGGGGGTTCTCAAGTCTGAGAGCAGTCAGGTGACCAAGAAGGAGTCTCCGAGGTCAGGGCAGCGTCCGAGCTGTGGTCCTGCACTAACTGATCGTGTCAGCTCTGCACATCCCTGGAAGTCCCCCCTGCACAGGCCCGCGGCATGAAGGGCTTCGTGGGTGATCTCATGGCCGGTTTCCCTCAGCAACAGCTATGACAAGGGCATCAAAAAGTTCATGGAAAAGGTGCGTGGATTTCAATTTTTTTTTTTTTAACTAAAATAAATTCATACTTTTTTTGGGGGGGAAAGGTTTTTGCTATAGGGCACGTGCACTCACCAGAAAGAGAGACAGAGAAACAGAAAGCGAGAAATCACCTCCTCCCTCCCTCAGGGGGATGGCCACGCCGCAATCCCTTCTCCTCCATTCTCCTCTCAGGACCTTGGACACACATGCACACGCGCCCGGCGTGAGTTTAAGTCACCGGGTCCAGGACTCAAACCATAGTCGACTGCAGAGGAGTTCAGTGACACAGCCATTACACCAACTACTGACCCCAATGAAGTCATACTTCCACTCCACTTTTCCATGAACCTCCCCCTTAATATGCCTTGTGAGCCGAGCACCCTGGAGGGCAGATATGATGGGATGCTCATCCCCTGAGCCGGCGGGAGAGGGGCCCTGTGTCACCGTCCTCCCTAGACAGCACTCAGTGCCTGGCAGGCGAGGGTTTGGCTATAGCACCTGAATAAATGCAACTGCACCAGCTCCTCCACCAGGGGCTCTGCTTAGAGCACAGCATTTAAGAAAACAGGACACATGCACATCCACTTTTACAGTTCATATTTTCCTAAAAGTGTATTTTTACTCCACAATTTTCAGACTTGGTCTTAGCCCAAAATGACTGCTTTGCAGACTAGGGAGCGGAAGGCGTGTCAAAGGCACATTCCACCTGGATGACCGCAGAGGCGGAGCTGAAGCCACCCGAGGGGAGAGAATGGTCTTCGGAGCACTGGGCTCTACAACGTCGCTATCGTGAGCGTTGCCCATGCTTTTTTCCATGCACGGGACACGCGGAATTGGTTTCTGCGTTTCTCTGTTCTCCCTGAACAAATACGCTGCACCCACTGCAGAAAAGCCAGCCGCCTCTGAGCCCAGTAATCTGCTGCTTCGCCTCCTCTAAGAAGTGAGGCACAAGCGTAGGGTGAGGTGTAGAGAAGGCAAGGGACTTAGCCTGCAGTGCTGACTTGTAGGATCAGTTCACAACCTACGTAGCCACGGCAGCAAGGGAGAGGGCTGGGAAGAAGGTCCCACGTCCCCCCTCGGAATTGTGCGTAGTTTCTGGGACACACTTCACGCCCTTCTCGCTTCTTCTCTACTGCCCTCTTCTAGAAGAGGCTAAGGGCCTGGCCCATTTGCAGCCGAGGGAGTCTGTTGGCGCCTAGGATCTGACAGTGGCCTGGGGGCAGTAGTGGGCAGAGGCACTTCCAGGTCAGCACTGCTGCAAGCCCTATGCTCTCGGTGAGCATCAGTCCAGGCTGTCCCAGTCCGGGGAGGCTCTGGGGTCATGTGGCAGGCAGTGCCTAAGTCAGCAGCTCTGGGTGTTTTGCTGGCATTTACGGCATGACTCTCTCTGATAGATGGTCTGGGCCCTCTCGGAAAAGTGTACACGTGAACACACAGCTTCATCCCTTCTTGGTGCACGCGAGCTTAGCCAGGTTATGAATCAGTGGCCTAAAGAATAATCCAATGATGGGACTAGCAGGGGGTGTGGTGGGTAAGGGGCTGGAGTCCCATGTAGTCAACTGAGGTTCGAGTCTCAGACCCAGTGATTTGAAACTCATGCCAGGTGCATGTGCATGCATATCCAAAATTTCAAAAGGAAAACGGAGAAGGGATTGTGACGTGGTCATTCGATTTCTCACTGTCTGTTTCTCTCACATGCCCTATAGCAAAAATAACTCAAAAAAAGCTAATAATCTGATGGTCACCTACATCTCTCCCAGCTTCCTCCTGAGGGTCTTCCTCTGTGTGCCATGTTGGTGCCAGTGCAGACGCGCCATGCACCTTGGCTGCAGTGGTAGGTTGGGTTGGCAGACTGACTCTCACAGTGACCCGTCAGGAAAACAAGTGAGAAACTCTCTATCCTGTAAAGGTCTTGCGTTGGAGGTCTGTCCGCAGCACCCAGCCTCCTCACACACCCACCTTCCTCATTTCTCTCTTCCAGGCTCACGAAGAGAAATAGCGAAGCCCTCCACCGACGAATCTGCCTTGAGGAAACCAACCAACCACTCCCACCAGTCAGGAGGAAGAAAACAAAACCAGCCAACTAAACCAAATGATTTTATTGTGCAATTTCCTTCTACCAGAAAAGTACTAAAAATATAAATATTAACTCTCTAGAAAATACTCAGAATAGATCATCTTCTTGTGCCTCCAAACTTCTTGTTCTTTAGAAGGCGATGAGTGGCATGCATGTGCGTCTTCACACCATCCACACTCGTCACACCCACATCCCTCTGTGCGGGGCAGTCCAGTTCATCCTCCCGCCAGGTCCCAGAAGCTCAACTTGGACTCTAAAGCTATGTGGGGAGTAGGGGGTTACGGCGGGGTGGCGGAGTAACGCGGACAGAAAAGACTCCGAGGACCCAACTTCCTTGCATGGACGGAGAAGCTGGGTCCTTCATCCCTCCTGCCCCACACTGCCCTCATGTGGACCGGGCTATCTGAAGGCCGAGCTCCCAGTGAGGCTAGACCCTCTACAAGGGGCAGGTAGGGGTGCAGTGGTCCTGCGGCAACCATGGGAATGTCAGACTGTGGGGATAGAAAACGGTGCCCAGGCCTCAGCAGGCCCAGAAGTCGTTCCTGCTGGGCTTGGCCATAATGTAGCCCCCAGCCCCAGGCAACGTTTGCAGCATCAAGGCCAGACTTCAGTCTGAGAGGCTCCCGAGGTAGCAGCATCACCCTGCGGCAGGGGATGACATAGTTGGAGGCAGCTAGAGATTGGAGCGGGGTCTTAAGGCACCTTATTCAGTATCAGACACAGTCTGAAGAACTCTGGGGTCACCCTGGCAGTGGTCCTGGGAAACCCTGGTGGAAGCGCCTTGCTAATCCCGGGTCTGGGGGCCAGAAGGTCAGCAGGGACTGGCTGTGGTGCGGAGACAGGGTATATATTAAGCAAGCTGGGCCAAGTGGCTCCCATGTCACCTGGCCACAGCCACCCTGGCCTCGGAGAGGAGTAGCCTCAAGTGCAGTTGGCTGCTCTGGTCCCACTAGGAGCAGACCAAGCCTCGGGCATGGAGGGCTCAGACGATTCTGGGCTTGTTCTCACAGCTTGTGTGTTTGGTCTCTATTTCCAGCTCTGTGTGTGTTTGTGTGATACCCAAACGATCCTGGAAAAACTCAGGGGGCCCCAGATGCTGGTCCTGAGACCTTCTCTTCGACATCAGGACTGGATATGACAGACTAGGGACGTCCCTGGAGTCTGCATAGGCACTAACAGCCCTGCTCACGCCACCAAGACCTGCAGGTCTGGCAGCAGAGACCCTCGAGGCGGGGAGGAGCTCTGCAGTGAGTGTGTGGAAGACAGGGAAGGAGCGCTGGGAAGGCTGTGCGAGGCTGCCCAGCTGCAGAAGCAAGAGTGCAGACACCCACGGCCGGGCGAGCCCACTGCAGCTCCAAGCTCTGCAGGCCTCGGCCTGGATGCTGCACACGGCAGGTAGGGAGGGGGCAGGAGCTTGGGATGAGATGGGCTGGGATGTGGGCCCTGCTGTCCTGGAGCTCATGGGAGGGAGGCCAAGCACTGTCACTCAGCCTGCCTGGCTGGACGTGCCATTCCCAGTCTCCTCCCAGGAAGTGGCCACCTTGTTCAAGAAAAGGCATGTTCTCTTCTTGCCGCAAAGGCCACCAGGGTTGGGATCACCCCCTTACAGGGTCTCCTGGACACAGGAAAACAGCACGAAAGGACCCCTGGTGGGAGACAGCAACAAAAAAGTGGGTTAACCCAGGAGGGCAACACCAATGAGCCTGGACAGAGCAAGTCAGTCCCACACCAATCCTGGAAGCAGGAGCACCGCAAGACCGCTGGCATCGGACCAAGGAGGAGGCAGGCCAGAGACCTCCCCAGGGGGCCAGCTCTGCAGAGACAGCAGCTTCAGCACGAGCACAGAGCACCCTGCCCAGTGAGCCGGGGCCAGCCTCTGCGGTTCTCACTGCGTTCCAACCGAGCCTCCCTCAGGCCCTCGCCCCTAGAGTTGCATCATCTTAGGCTCTGGGTGGCCCTGGAGAGCTGCTTGGGCCCCCCACTCCCTGCTCCATCTTGCGTCCCCACTACTTCTGTGCTCAGCTCTCTTAGGGCCACTCCAAGGTCCTGGGCCCTCCCAGCAAAATGAGTATACACTGCTGCTTCTTCAGGGCCTGCCTGGCTCTGTCTTCACACACAGCGAGGGAAACCCTGATCTTTCCTCCGTGCAGGAGCTCACGTGGTTCCCCAGATGTCAGGCAGGCAGGGGGACTTCATTTTGTAGTCTACATCAGACCAGTGGGGGAAGACCTTGAGAACCCTGAGCGGCAGGTTTGAACCCTGGATGAATACTTAAGGTCTCGGGCCTGGCAAGCATCTCCCCAAGGCAGAGGTGGGGTGGGAGACGGGGACCTACACTATCTGGGACCAGATAGGAGGAGCCATGGCTGGGCTGTGGTCAGGGGCTGTGGCTTTCTGGGCAGGGGCCCATCATCAAGCCAGACCTAGCATTCCTCAGCCAGCCCAGTCCCTTTGAGGCAGGGGACTCCTGGGCCTTCAGGGAGGATAGAGAAGGACCCAGAAAGTGGGAGGGAGATGAACAAAGAGAATCCTGCCAAGACCCTCATCCTGGGCAGGCCCTGCCATCCATGGGGAGCCAGGCCGAGCTCCAGTCTCCTGGGGCTGCAGCCAACACCAAGAGAAGCTTGCAGAAAACGAGGTTCAGAAGAGTTGGCAGCCAGGTCCTTTTGCCATTCTGCAGACAGGCTCTTTCGCTGGACTCCTCGTGGGCTTCCAACCCCGCGGCATCCACATGGGAATATTGGATTCTGATTGGTATCCCATGACAAGGAAGACCGAGGGCAGGGAGAGCTGGGGAGGGCCTGTGTGTGCAGCAGAGGAGAAAAGGGACGGACGACAGGGCAATGCTTGGCAGGGACGAGAGGAGGCTCTACTCAAAGGACAGCAGGTCCGGGTGAGGGCCCTCGTTGTCCAGGCTGGAGGTCCGTGCCCGGGGACAGGGGCTGCTGCCCTCCCAGGAGTCCTCCAGGCTGAGGGGGCTCACGCTGAGCTGGAGGCCGTTCCTCTCCATGAGGCCCGGGGAGGAGGCCCTGCTGTGCTCAGTCACCTTCAGCTTGGACTCATCCTGGCTGTCCTTGTGGATCAGGTCAGGTACCGACAGGGAAACCTCGCCATTGGGCAGGGCCTGGGCCCTGTCTTCTTCCATGGTGGCCTCTGACCGGGAAGCGTCCGCAGGGACAGGCTGGGCGGGGGGAGGGGAGTCCTGGGGCTGCCCGGGTGGCAGTTCAGTCCCACACTCCAGACTGCTCAGGACAGGCTGTGAGGAAATGAGCATGTCCTGGGTGGTCTTCAGGGCCCGAGGGGTTCGCTTCCTGGCTATGGCGGGTGGAGGATCCAGACGAGGGAATGCTTCCTGCAGAGCTGACCTGGAAAGTTGAGGATAGGAAAGCTGTCAGAACACAAATGGCGTCCCTGGTGTCAGAACTCAAAGGCAGCTGAAGAAGGCCACGGAGGGAGCAGCTCTCACGCACGTGTGCCTGATACCCAGAGCTGTCCCAGGGACCCTGTCGGAACACAGCCTTAGACAACGGGCACTGCCACCTGACACACGGACGGCTTCCGTGAGGAGTCCCATCTCTCAGACCGCCTGTCCAACCCTGGACTGATGCAACCTGTGCTTTTACTCCCGGCAGCCAAGGACAACTATCCCCAAACAACTGGGCAGTCCTTCCTCATTTTCCTCTTAAAAATCCTTACCTCCCCTCACCTCGCTGAGACTACCCTTAGTTTACTATGGCAAGTGTATTCTGCATCGCAGCTCCCAACCCTGAGTAAGTGTCGGATTTCTTTTCGCATCTCCCTCTCTGCTGTGATCCTGACCAGCTGTTCATCTGTCTGTTTAGGGCCCATGTTTTTGTTTAGGGCCCATGTTTTTGTTTAGGGCCCATGTGCTTGCTGAAGAGAGACAGAGAGACACAGAGAGAGAGAGAGAAAGTGAGAAATAAGACCTTACCGGGGATAGCCACAGCCCCTTCTCCCGCATCATCCCCGGGATTTTGGCCAGTATGCGCAGGTGCCTGGAGTGTTTTGCAAGCTGTGGAGTTGGCCAGGTGGAATCTAGAGCTTTAACCCTGACAACCGGCTGACTCCTCTCTGCTACTTAGAGGCTGGTGCAATAAACACACGTGCTTTAAGGACAGTGAGACACCAGTCCACGCTGCATCCTCATTCCTCTAACTCCCAACTGCACATCCTACTCTTCTGCCCAGGGAGTGCCTGACCTCGGGGGCTCTCATTCTGGGTTCATGTGCAGGTCTCAGCCACTTGAGCGCAACACTGGCTTTGGCCTGTTGTATCCTCCCTCAGTGCTCACGGCAAGACATGCTGCCTCCAGGAGACAGGACAAAGCCTCCTCATGACCCATCTCAGAACAGAGCCTACGCGACAGCCCGTGGTGGACAGTGCCACCTTAGGCAGAGGTGTTCCAGAGGAGGCCTGGGAAGGAGGGCTTGGTCAGAGCTGGAAGATGGCAGGGCTGCCACAGCAAGAGTCCCCTCACTGCCCAGGAGGGTCTCGGTTCAGGGCAGCCTCAGGTGGGGCCGGGCAGTAGAATCCATCTGGGGCATTTCAGAGCCATCGTGGGTTCAAATGGAGCTCTGCCACGTATCCACTTTCTGCTTTCAAGCCGCTCACCTCAGCTCTCTGAAACGGAGTAAGATCTCCCTCCCGGGGCTCTGGTGCAGGGTCGGTAAGAGGAGGCGACTGCAGTGTGTAGCACAGGGCTGAGGGGCTGAGGGGCCCTCCACACATGTCAGCTAGGGGGCCTGACGGGAAGGTGACGTGGTGCTCATGGTCACTGCGATATTCTGCGCTGCCGCCCCAGGAGGGGGCGTGGGGCGCTGAGGTCTCCCTGTGGTCTGGCTGAGTCTGGGGTGCAAAAGCAGCATGAAGCATAGAGCCCTCGTTGGGGGGGCACGCACACACATTCTCTCTCACGGAAGAAATAAAACACAAAACCAAAGCCCTTCAGCTGTGGTCATGAAAGTCGAAGCTAGCCCCTGCGAGCGAGTTCCTGTCCTCAGGGCCGTTCTCTCATGTGGAACCCCAGGACTGCGGGGACACTGGCGGTGCGAGGACTCACCTGTCAGCCTCCAGCCAGGCCTCTGACGCCTCCTCAGCCCCGCTGGCCAGCTGGGCTCCCACGGTCATGTTGATCTCCGTCACCCCCACACTGCCAAGGCCCGAGGGCTCCTTTCTCCGCAGGAAGTCATTCACTTTGGCCCCCATGGCTTTGCCCAGGTTCTTGAGGTGCTGGCTGCTGCCCACCCAGAGCCCCGGCCCACCAGGTTCTGTGGAGCCCAGGGCTGCAGAGCTGGGGGCCGCAGGCCTGGACAGGTGTGGGAAGGAGTGGCTGGGCTGGAGCTTGGGAGTGAGGGCTGTGTTCAGGTTCTCAAACATGCTGTGGTCAACTAGAAGCAGAGAGGGGAGAAAGAGACGGGTGAGAGGAGGGAGGGGGCCGCTGACCCGGTCAGCCAGCCTTCCTGTCCTTACACCACGCCCCAAACAACACTTGATAAGGCTTTCGAAATAATCAACAAAGAGCCAGAAAAGGCACCCTTGAATTTTCTGGAGCAGTTTTCTAGATGGGACATGGAACTGGAAATTCTAGTTTTGCTCCACCCAAGTTAATCAGTGACTAACCCTAGCCATGAAAACATCAACGTATTCCTTTAAACTTGCATTCTTGACTCATGGCTTGACTCCTTTACCTTGGGGTCACCAGGCCCTTTGAAGTAAAAAAAAAAATGAGGATGAAGCAACGAGACGTGATGTTGCCACAGTGCCCTGCGCACACACCGCGCACTCCGATCCAGGCCTGCGATGGAATCCGGTGGAGCGTGGCAGGTATGGGCTTGGCCTGGAAGCACCCCATGAGAGCCACGTGTGCAGCCTATTTTCTCCATGGGAAAGGGGCCAGTAGTTCCTCATGTCTCCTGAGGTGGCAGCACGTGTGCAGAGATGCCAGGGGTGACTCAGAGCCCATTCACAGCAAATGCAGGAAGCAGAAGGAACTTGACACGCTAGCTCACCTAGCCCTCCTGGCACGCTGGTGAGGTGGTGTGGTAAGGTTCACGGAGGAAGTGGGGCTGAGACATGCGCGTCCATGCCTGAAGCCACACAGCTGTTTGATGGTGGGGCTGGAACTATCAGGTGGTTGGGAAAGACATGACATATTTTTCAATGCAAAAATGCATCATGACTTCCCCAAGGCCCCTACGGAACTCAGGTCTCCTAAGGCTCGGGGCCCTTTCCACTACTTTGGCTTATCTTGGATGGAATAGCTGCCTCAAGATGTGTGGTAGATGGTCTTTCCCTCAGGGGTCTCTCTTTGGCTTCAACAATGAACTCAAAGGGCTGGAAATAGACCCATTGGCTTGTCAATATTTGCAAGGAAAGGCCATGTCTCATTCGTCATTGTATCTTCGACATGGGGGTTATAAATATTCTGACCTGAATTGCTAAAACCCCATCCTACAGGTGGAGAACGGTGGAGGCCGATAGAGTAGCTCCATGGTTTGCTGTTGAAATGGCTGGGGCTTCAGACTCGACGCCACACTGTCCACACACGTGCGCCGGGGCGTCCGCGCCCCACCTGGTCATCTGGCTCAGTAACCAGGGCAGCCAGACTCACTCTGGGACCCTGGAACTGAGTCTGAGGTTTCTGCCCATACCAACCACTCCAGGCCTTTTGTCAGTCTCGGGTTAGCAGAGGGACATTTGGTCATTAGGCTCCTCTGCTTGTCAACACCCCCGCGAAGTGTCTATTGTCACTAAGCTTTTTCAAAGAGTAATTGAGGTCAGGATGTGTTTAATTTTTGCATAAAGGAGTTAGTTCTCTTTGCCCTGCACTGCTGAGTCCTGGGTCAACAGGAATATTTCTCTCTCTCTCTCTCTTTTTTAAAAAAAGAATTATTCATTTAATTTTATTTTTTAAATTATTATTGTTTTCTTATGACCAGAGAGAGAGAGGGCAACGGAGAAAGAAAACTTCCAGGTCCAGAATTCGAACCACAAGAGGTCATGTGGGAGTCCAGCACCCCAACCACCATGCCACCTGCTAGCCCCCATGTTTTTCTTTTATTTATGGTTTCAATGAAGATGTCCCCTTGGGGACAACTACCCAGGCAAGCCATATTCAGATGGCACAGAGAAAACATGAGAGAAGATCTCTCTGCAGATGGGCCCCACGGCCTCCACCTCTGTCACTTTCCCTAGCCCTCATGCAAGTGAAGGTTCCACTGTGGGTGGGGGACATGCCAGGGAGCTCAGATTACAGCATCCCTGGGACCCAGGGCACAAGTGGCTGGGCTCTGAAATAGACCCGCCACACCAGCACATGTCCCCAGCACCCCCAGCAGGCAGGGCATTAACCCCTGATCATTCTCCTGAGTGCACGTCTGACTTTGTCACCCACTTCGGCATCATTTTCCCATCACCTTCCATGTCCTTCTCATTTTCTCCTTAAGAGGTCACCTGCAAACTTGCAAAGACCTGGAAACTAAGCCTGTTAACTATCTTTCCCAATCCCAGAAAGTACATGGAAGATGCATGTTATGAAAAATACACATGGAGTTCAGGCTTTCATCTTGTGCCAAAATAAACTCATACTTCAATTCCTATGAACCTTCTAGGGCCCCTTCGCGGCGGATGGGCCACGAAGAAACCACATGAAATGCTCAAGAGGGATACATTGCGGAAGGTGAATTTCTGGGGTGCTTTCCTTATTGGTTTAAAATGAATCTTCAGGGCCAGCAGGTGGCATGGTGGTTAAGGTGCTGGACTCCAACATGGCTGGCTGCAGTTCGAGTCCCAGACCTGGCACACACACATATGTGTGTGTGCCCAAAATCCCAGGAAGAGATTGGAGGGGAAGAGATTGCAATGTGGCCTTCCCTCCTGGGGGGTGATTTCTCACTCTCCCTCTCACTGTCTTTCACACATGCCCTACGGTAGAAAATCTAAAAACATTAATGGGAACCAGCAGTTGGCGTAATGGCTATATCGCTGGACTCCCATGGAGTCGACCACGGTTCGCGTCCCGGACCCGGTGGCTTAAAACTCACGCTGGGCACGAGTGAGCGTATGCCCAGGATCCCAAAGGGAGAATGGAGGAGAAGTGATTGTGGCGTGACCATCCCCCCTGGGGGGTGATTTCTCGCTTTCTGTCTCTATGTCTGTCTGTCTGGCGAGCGCACGTGCCCTATAGCGAAAAAACCATTCCAAAAAAAGAAAAAAGAAAAAGAAAAAAAAGAAAGAAAATCTAAAAACATTAAGTAAATAAAGTGACTTTTCAGAGCAGAATACACTTATTTTTAAAAATGCAAGCACAAAAAACACCTGTCAAAGTGACTTGCAAACTGGGCCCATATTATTTGAAACCCACGCTCCTTACATAAACGTGAAGAGCTTGCAGATCGAGCAGCACGATGGATTGATTCCCCCTGCTTCTTTCTCGCCACCCTTCGCAGCGTAGTCTATAAAACACACTGAATTCTTGAGCGACCTAAACACAGCCTGTCACATGCTCTCTTTACCACCGTCTCCATCTCTCTCACTAACATGCCTTGTCTCTGTCATAAAGGGGTGGTCCCCAAGGGGCCATGGCACTGTAAGTGCTTTTTATCTTCTCGGACGCCTCGCTCGGGGCCTTGCACAACGGCAGTCACTGAATAAGTTAGTTTAATCCAAGTTGACTTTTACATGAATTTTTACAAATTGATTGCAGGATGGGCTGACGTTTTAGAAAAACTGCTGCAAGTCGTTTTCCATTTACAAAAGCCACTCAGAAGCCCCTCTGAGGAGTGCTCTGCGGGGGCTGTTGAGGTAGGACCAGGAGGAACTGCCCTTCCGTGGCTGTGGCTTCCTCCATCTCCATGTCATCTGAGGGGACCCGGTGAGCCCTCTGCCTGCTGATGGCTCAAATGACCTCCACACTCAGGACGACTCCTGCCTCAGGGCCAGAGGCCTGGCCGTGCAGGAAACAATGGCGATGAAGATGCGATTAAACCCCAGCAGGTGGCCCACCCAACGGCACCCCCAGCATGCACATACTCAAGCAGAGAGGGTATCTGGGGACACAGGTCATCCACGAGAAAGAGGGGTCTTACCTGTCCGAGAAAGGGGCTCGGAAAGCAGGTGGGAAACAAACGAGAGAGAGACACAATTTATGTAGTGACCAATTACTTCGTGTCACCTCCTGCCTGGCCAGCAGCAGCACACGAGAGAGGACACGGCAGGTGAGACAGAGGCCCTGTGCCTAGGAGTCAAACAGACCCGGGAATGACCAGGGTCCCAGGATCTGTTTAATAACTAAACCAAAACAGAACGTTCAACACTCTACAAACAGGACTGAGGGAGTCGGCCTCCCATATTTCCACCCCATATTCCGAGTCCCCTTCACATGAAGTACAGTTGTCTCTTGGCATCCATGGGGACTGGCCCCAGGATGTCCCGCAGACACGAACATCTGTGGGTGCTCAGGCCCTTCACACAAAATGATGTGGCATTCACACAGCGCCCACACGCACCCCGCCCCCCCAGATTTTAAATCGTCTCTAGATTACGCGTAAGAAATGTCAGCATCAGAGGCAAGTGAAAAGAAAAATAGATAAACTTCTTGAGCAGCAATCTTTCAAGGAGTTGCCTCTTCCCCCTTTCATAACCATCAGTGTGGCCTGGAGCAACAGCTGGGGATTCCATCTATGGGTGCAGAACCCCCAGAAACAGATCGCATGGATCTGGAGTTCCTGGAGGGCAGTGACAGAAACAGGACGAGCCCGGACAGAATGAAGCTCTCGGCGCCCTGGGTCTGTGAGCATTACTCACTGCGACGCTGCTCTGCACGTGCACATCCCCGGGTTCCAGCCAGGAAGATGTCCAGCCCCTCCGACTCGGAGTGTAAACTATCATGAAGGGAAAACCACCTGCAGAGATGTCTGCCCATCATCACAGGTAGGGAAGGGTGGAGGGGGATTAGCAGTCACACACACTCTCAGTCCCAGACCCGGGATTTCTCTCCGCACTATGCAGTGCCTTCCAAGCTGCTCAATATGGGACCTCAACTTATATGCCAACATGTTTCAACTCCAAGTCAGAAAGTTAAAGCAGGAGAGAAATCATGTCCTGTTATGTCCTCCAAATGCTGAAATAGGAGGTCTTCTGCATGTGTGTTGAAAATGCATATGAACAAAAATGTTCATATTCCGACTCGCCTTGTCCATGAACTTGCAGAAGTCCCTGCATACAGACAGGAAGATACCTCTGGAATCCAGTGGGCACAAGTGACTCCCACGTGCTCCGCACCTCTGCTGCAGGAGCCCGGCGCTCCTCGGGGAGTGGGCTGCATCTCTCCCACACAGCAGAAGTGGATCTACCGTGGGGATGGGCCCAGGCACTGTTATGGAGCTAGCTGACACAGTGTGACGATCTAGAGAGGGCACCTCCAGCTCAGCTCCCAGTGCACCACCATCTACCCCCATCCCGCATTCCACTAGGGTGCCAGGTTGTCACAGGACAAGAGCAGAGCACAGAGAAGGGACAGACTCCCCCTCTAGAGTCCACCGCCTTTCCAGCACGATGACATGAGTGAGTCACCCGCTGGCATGTTAGTCACTTGCTGAGAAGAGCACAAGTGACAGGAAATGGCATCTGGTCCCCACTTTTTGGAAAACACACAATAAGGTATTCATGTGGAAAAGAGTGATATTTGTAACTTACCTTCAAATAGTTCAGGAAAAATCTAAATATAGACACACACACGGGGCGGGGGGCTGGGAAGGGAGGACTGATAAAGCAAATGAGGTAAAACGTTCATAGGAAAATCCGGATCCAAGGTAGACGAATATCATTTGTACTAATTTTTGCAATTTTTATAAATTTGAAATAATTTTCAAAGAAAATGTAAAAAGAATACATATATGTGTGTGTGTGTGTGTGCGTGTGCGTATATCCCTAATTAAAAAAAAAAAAACAGAAAGTAAGACGAACAACAAAATACTCAGGGGCAGAAGTTAGGCAGATAAGGAAAAAGAGAAACAAAAAGGTCATTCAGAGAAGACTGAGGTCCCTAGGGTCAGGTGGTGGCACAGGGTTAAGGACACTGGACCCACATGAGAAAGGTCTTGGGTTCACATCTCAGGCCTTCCCTGGGAATTCTGGGCCAGTGATTTGGGCTGGCTGAAACTGGGGTGGATCCTGGCGTGAAGACCTGGCCAATGGTGACTATTTCTCTGTCTCTCTCTCATATAGAAGAAATAAAATAAAGTTATTATTAAAAAAAAAGATGATGACAACGATGAGGTTCTCAGAGCTGGGAGGTGGCAGTGTCAACACAAAGTGTGTTAACAGACAATACTAAACATAAAAGGGACAAACGTCACTCTGTTTCTACTCTATCCTTCCTTCTCTCTCGGTATTCCCCACCAGGACAGGCCACTGAAGAATGACGCGCCACACCACCTTTACAAGTGTCCATCTCGCTCGCAGTACCTTTGTCCAGCTTCCAAGGAGGTAGCTAGCGAGTGGGTGGAATCATGTGACCTTGTGATGTCACCTGCACTCAGAATGTTTATCGTCTGGACAATCCAGCTGGCCTCAGGGAGCAGGCCTGGGACCGCCATACTCTGCAGTGGTCAGATTATGGAGAACTTCTCACTCCTCAGCATCTCTGGACCTCGAATCTCTTCCTCTGCCCTGAGCACGTTTCCCGACATCATGTCCTCACGTACCAGCTTACCAGGTAAACTCTGGTGCCATGAGCACTACAGAGACGCAGGGGGGGTTGTTTTCTTTTTAACTTTTTATTTATTTCTTGAGAGAGAGAGTCAGACAGACCCACATACACAACAGGGTCCTCATGCCACAAACCACCTCTCCACCTCGGCCACCCCACATCACTGGGCATGCATGTGTGCAGGGAGGGCTCAGGACCCTAACCTGAGGCCTTCCAATCTGGCTTCAGCATCTAGGTACACTGTGTTACCACTATACCACCAAGGCTGGCTGTGCAGGCTGTTCTTTTTTTTTTTTTTTTTTTTTTTAGTTTTCGCCATAGAGTGTGTGCACTTACTGAAGAGAGACAGAGATAGAGAGAGGGAAAGTGAGAAATCACCCCCCAGGGAGATGGCCACACTGCAATCCCTTCTCCTCCTGGGATTTTGGGCATGCATGTACACACATGTGCCCAGTGTGATTTTCAAGCTTCTGATTCCAGGATACAAGCTGCAGTTGGCTGTGTGGAAGTCCAGCACTCGAACCACTGTGCCACGAGCTGAAGAGACAGAGATAGAGAGAGGGAAAGTGAGAAATCACCCCCCAGGGAGATGGCCACACTGCAATCCCTTCTCCTCCTGGGATTTTGGGCATGCATGTACACACATGTGCCCAGTGTGATTTTCAAGCTTCTGATTCCAGGATACAAGCTGCAGTTGGCTGTGTGGAAGTCCAGCACTCGAACCACTGTGCCACGAGCTGACCCCTGTTTTGAGTTTTTTTTTTTTTTTTTTTTTATTTAGTCCCTCG